CAAGCCCAAAAATAGCCGGTCTGGGATCAAAAACAGGACCGGAACTGCCCGATTCGGCCCCCAAGTGGGTGAATTGGGACCAACCGACCAAGTAACATACTTGGGCGGACTCTAGGCGAACCCGAACTGTGACGGATCGGGTCCACCCTTAGGTGGGAATGGTTTGCCTGAGTCAAGTTTTTGCTAAACCTGAAAAAGGCTCAGATTTTTGTTAAATCCGAAAATTATTCTAGAAATCGGGTTATGAAACTTATAGTCAGTCCGAGTTCGACTTGTCGTAGTTCGGGTTCAGTTTGAGTATGATCAATTAAAGTTTGGATGAGAAATCACCACACTATTCTTCTTTTATTTTAAAATAAAACATGTTTTCAAATAAATTTAGTTACAAATACAAATCACATAAAATAACATTAATAATAATCTCCAAAGACCAAAATCACAAATAATTCAAATCCAAACAATAGAATTTGTCTTTATCTTAATATTGCATTTGAGATGGCATATGAATAAATAGTACTACGTATTGGTGTATTATACTTCGTATTGGTTTTATATCAAGGGTAATCCTTTCGAGTTTGGTCGATCCGAGCGGGTTATATATTTGTAGGAACCAGCCCGAATTTTCGGGTTCGGTCCAGTTTTCAAGTTTCAATTCAGTTTTTGCTACCTAAATTCAGTGTAATATTGGTGGAATTTTTTCTATTTCGTAATTAGCACAAATTTAACCAAAATTTGATGAGGAATCGAGTAAATAGTGAAGGTGAAAATGACACGGAGTATTACTGGGAGAGTAAAGGGAATGACTACTTCATTTGCTCATTAAAAGGTCTCTAATTTGATTGGTGTAATTTTTAATAAATCATACGAGTATACGCTTTTCCAAAAAAAAATCAAATACGTAGTATTGGACTTCCAAAGAGTGGTCTTTGATTATAGGGTTGAGAATACTTTAATATTGTGGTAGGTGATTGTATTGAATAATTTAAGACTTTTATATTGGTCAAACAAGACCAAGATGAGTTTCATATGCTTTGGCCATTTCCAAATCAATCAACTATTATTTTCGAACTACACTTGATTTGATTAATATTCCAAGGACAAAATCAAGTGTGGTTTGTGGCTGGGGTTAGAAATTGATTAATATCCCAAGGACAAAATCAAGTTTGATTTGACAATGTCAACACAGTTAATGGATTAAGAGAAATTGAGTTTATTTGCAGGCTACAATTCAAATGGATGAGGAAAAAAACTACAGCTACTGTGTGTATGACTCAGACATTTCAACTGGCTTCGGTGTCGGTGCTTTCTTGTTCCTAATGGCAAGCCAAGCTCTTATAATGATAACCACTAGGTGCTTCTGCTTTGGAAGGGCTCTGAACCCTGGAGGTTCAAGGGCATGTGCTGTTATTCTCTTCATTATCTGCTGGTATGTATGCATATAAAAACTCAGTTACATACTTACATTTTACGTTTTTATAAGTGCACCGCTTACATTTCTCACACAAAACATTCTCATCCGCATTATATGTTACATTTATGTGTTGTTATAAACAAATTTTAGGGTGATGTTCTTCATTGCGGAGGTATGTTTGCTGGCTGGTTCAGTGAGGAATGCATATCACACCAAGTACAGATCCTCGTACCTGATCAACGATCAGCCACTGTCCTGTGAGACTGTGAGGAAGGGGGTGTTTGGAGCCGGAGCAGCCTTTGTGTTCTTCACTGCCATAGTCTCCGAGTTCTACTATGTTTCCTACTCCAAAGCCAGACGTAGTGTTGGACCATATGGCGGAGACATTGGTGTCGGTCTCGGGCCGTACAAATGAGCTTTTATCTTTATATAAAAGATGCACTCCATTCCAGAATGAGGTTACAGGTTACTAAAAATGTTAGACTGAGCTGAAATCACAAAATAAAAGTCGGGGCGAGCTTTTATTTGATTATTACACTTATGAGAGGTCTTTCACTCAGACTGGTTTTGTTTTTGTTTACGGTCACGCCAATTTCCATCATTTCCGTTACACTGTCTGTTTGGAAGTAGAATCTTTGTTAATGATACTGCATGTTTTCCTATGTTTTTGTTGTTTCCGTAGCCTGATAGGCATTAGTTTAAAAGACGAGTAAGAAATAGAAGTAACGACAAAAGTTGAAGCAAAAAATGGGTTGCCCTTTTTACAGTTTTCAACACCTTTGATGCAATACATGTCTTATTATCTTTCAAGGATAAACAGCAAAACCAAAAAGATATTTTTGAAACTAAATTATAAACCACCACTATGCAAGAAATAACCAGAAGAGTGGAAAAACTTAAAAGAGAAGTTGAATAAAAACCCTACAAAGGAAAGAATCATCAGTAATACTCGTAACAAATAAACATTTAGGTTATATGAGTATATACTTTTAAAACCAAAATACAAATAACTTTCGAAAGAAGAAGGTAAAGATGGAAAACTGAAACACTTCCAAATTTGTTTTGACGTACAACGTTTGAAAAAACAATATGAGAAGAAACAGTTGGTGAAACATTTAACTATTAAGACAAGATAATGAAAAACCAGCCAATATTTTGACAGGGGACAAATTATAGTGATACTATTCAAATTTGAAAACCAAAGAGGCAAAGAGATGATGGTAAATCAAAACACCTCCTAAGAAATTAGACATAAAAACCATTAGGCCTTGTGAAAAAAGAGGAAACTTGGCAGACATGCTGCAACACTCATTTAATTTAACAAGACATGTATTGTGATATTAGCCCAACAACACCCAGGAAAGCCCAATCCCACAAAGACCAATAACCAAGGGTTACGATCGGTCCTAACTCGGGTTTCCGACATGACCGTAATGGGATGGAGAGCTGTCACACTGACCCCTCAGCCACCTCATACAACTGTAAATACTCCCTCATAACTCCTTTTGAGGGGTTGCTTCTTGCATTTCATACTTCTTTCATTGTAGAAAGTTCATCGGTTAGTGTATATAGTCTAAGTTTGAATACAAGAGCTATCTGAGTGTGTTGTAAGTGCACGGTTAATTATCCCGATCCCAATACAGAGGCTTCGAGCTCTTCCATATCGACTCTTTTTATTATTATTTTCACTATCTAATCCATACAAATAACCCCAACAATTGTGTTTTGGCCTTTTGCGTTGAGGTAATCAACCTGAGCAACATGAAAATGAGAAAACAAGTAGATAGTTTGTAAAGAAAGGAGTTTATAGAAACATTTCCCAAAACCTATAGTAAAATAAACTCCGGACAAATGCAAGTAATAACACCTAATCACTTCATCCATTTCCATACAAAATGAAAGAAATTGAGAGCATACCAGAAAATAAAGTTCGTTAGAGCGGTGGAGTTGATTCTCTGCCCAGGATGTGACAAAATACCTAGCAAACGTGAAAAGCGGGGCTTCGAATTTTAAATAAAGCAAAAGTGACTATGGCAAACTAATGGTTTGTTTGGTTCGAGGATTTTGGAGGGGAGGTCAGCGGAGGATTGATTTGCATTTTTTAAAATTGAAGTCCACATTTAGCTGGTTGTAAAAAACTTTAGTCTATAGAGAAACACATTATCTAACTAATCAAACACTTATTTCTATTATAAAACTAACACATGAATAAAAATATAAAAATCTAAAGAACAATCCTCCACTTCCCTTCCCTCCGTAATACCCGAGGCATACAAGCCCAGGAAGTTTAGGACGACTAGTGGGGGAGGAAATGCTGCAACCAAAATCAATGTAAATCTCTGAACAGAAAATCGTCTTTGTAAATCTAGATATCAAATCAGTGTAAACAGAAAAAGTACAAGTCGGTTGGGCCAACGGAGTAACCAGTCATGTTGCTACAAGGCTTTCTGCAGAAGTTCTTTGTTCCACAAGTCTCTTCGCAGGCAGACAAAGCAAAAAAATCATTTCTTTTTTAGGTATTGAATCTTGATTAATTGAGTTTCTATTGTGACTTTTCCAGATTTGATTATCCAGCCAGCTTTAGAAAACAACAGTGCCCAAAGAGTGCTGGATGAAATTCCAGCATTTTGCCCATATCCACAGCTACAAAACATCCATAATTATCTTGGTTTCCGGCATGAAATTACACTTTCTATAGACTTAACCCTCTCCTATGATGAATATTTGGTTTAAGCGGAAGGGCCTAGCATCGTCTAGGGTTAGTTTTGGGAGTGGCGGTCGGATTCTCCACCGATCGTGCGGCTCGTGTGACTGACGGAAAAGGTCTCTCAATTCCATAGGAGGTTGTGAGCAGGTTTCCGATCTCTCGTGACAGGTTCTTTGTTGGCTGGGGCACTTATCGCGTACGAAGGATTGGTTGGAGTGTGGCGATTGATTCACGGCAACAGCAACAATCGGAAAGGATCGATTCACTAATTGGTGCTCTGGTGCTTCACGACAAGGCAATAAACAAAGCTTGTCAAGGGGATTTGCGGATAGTGCTCTGTTGTACACATCGTACTGCTTGATTTCACCTAGGAGGGATGGCATGGATGGGAACCAGGATTGAAGGGGAGAGGACGAACCTGGTTCTTCACGGAAGAGGAGGGTCTAAGGGTGACGGCACTAGGGTTCTTCGGCTGAGTTTGGTGGAAGAGGAAGGGCTGCTGATTCGTCCCCCTCCTGAACCGCCGCCTTGGAAAGATCGAGAGGCCAAGATTTGGTGGAAGATGAAGTTTTGAGAAAGAGTTTGGAGTTTTTACCAGTTATTTCATTTTTTATGGGTGTCTTTTAGTGTTTTGCTTAATTACGTTGTTCTGCTTTTTATTAATTTCTTTAGTTTTAGGCCTAAAATAATGAGGGACAATTCTGCTAGATATTATATTGTTATAAGGATCGATATAGCCAGTGAGTGCTGGATACCCGTTTGGTGGTTAGCGATTCGTATCGCTCTTTCAAGGGTGGTCGTTTCTATGTCTAACCGTAGGGTTGATAGTGATAGTTGGTTAGAGTATGTGGTTGTCAGTATGGATGTCTTTGAGTTTGATGTAACGATCCGAACCCTAATGATATTAATATAAGCAGTTTTCCTTTAAAAAAAAATAGACTTAACCCTCTCCTAAGTCCTAACTGTATCATTTGGCAACCTCAGGCCATAGAGCTCCAAAAGTAATAAGAATCCTTACAAAGGTTTCATCTTTTACATATATCAAACTTCCGCATCAGTTCTATGCTCTCTGCAATAGTTGAACCAGTAGTTCCCACAAAACCAAGAGAAGCACAGCTACATATAGTTTCCTCTATGTATAATAGCACGTCAGGCAATGTTTGACTCTTCAGATTCTCCTGAACTTTGATAGAACGCTTTGAAAAGGACCTAAACTTCATACCATGGTTCCCATTCAGGATACTCCCCGCAGTTTCTGTGACCAGGTTGTCATTTTTTTCAAGGACAAACAGTTTAATCCTTGAATCTTTCGATATATCACCCAAATAGCTACCAGTCCAATTAGACATGGGAAGGTCAGTCATCAGAAACACATGAACAGAGTTAGGTCCAGTTTGTTTCAAAGATTCTAACCTATGCTTCAACTCTTGGAAAGTAGCTCTCCAGTGGTTCTTGAATTGCCCATCTAGTAGCCTAAGCTGAGCACAAAGAAACGGAGCCTTAATTCTATTATCAACGAACGTCTTCCCAGCATGAAGAATTTCTGGAACAAAGGGAAGGTATTTGATCTTCTTGATGAAGGAATCGATCCTTTTATCACTAGGAGCTTCGTGGATATCGATGTGAGACTCCGAACCCTTATAAGGGGAAGTAAAAAGGCTTCCAAATGCAAGAATTTTGGAGGATCCAGGAAAAGAGCCAAGTCCTAGGGTCTTGTATACATCTCTCCTTCTCCTAACAAAGTCAATTTCTTTTTTCTTCTTGAGTTTCTCATCTGGTTGAAATGAGTCTAAACTACCTTCTTCACTGTCTTTTTGGTATGTCCAGACCGCTGTCCGGCAATCCTCATCTACAGCATATAAACAACTCTCTAAATTGCCGTATTTTCCAGACAGAAAAGACCCACATTCATTTAGTCTTTGTAGCAATGAAGGTTGAGCCTTTTGGTCTCTAGAGCATGAGTGATCCGGTTTCACACCACACCATTCATGCACAAAATCTCTAAAATCCACAACACTTACTGCTGAACCAGACACAGTAACTGAAATGTCAACAATATCGGCCATAGAAACATATCTGCAACAAGAAAATGAGCAATATGATAAACAAAGAGCCTTACCTAATAAGCCTCCATTATAAACAGGTTTAGCTCATTCCAACAATTACATGTAACAAATCAGTGTAAATCGCTGAACAGAAAATCGTCTTTGTATAGAATCTTATAGAGCATTACAAATCATAATAAAGGACACCCTTGAAATCCACAAAAGCATGACATGACATAACTTTCAATATGAGTAAAATAGGTATACTGGGCATATATAAGTTTTCTCTGTCGTGCCTTAACAAACTGACTTGCCTGCAATTACGTAAGAGCTCAACACTATGATTCCAAACAGCGAATCTCAAGTCAGGGGGGCTTAGAACCCTGAATTTGGGGCAGCTTCCCAGAGCAACGGCGTGATGATCGAGAATGGGAGGGACAACCAGGGTTCGATTTAAAATCGCAGCCATTAGAAGGGCGTTCTTGAATTCGGCAAGCTGGTTGCTGAATCCACTGTGGGGAGCGTACCAGAGGAACTTCTCTCTGGAGGAGGAACCGCATCGTAAGGTACTGAATGCCGGGGAAATTCTGGAGAGTGGAAGTTCAGACGGAATAACGAAAAAACGTCTGAAGTAGAAGAAGAGGAGAAGGATAGAGGAGATTACTATAACGGTGAGAAGTGCAGATCTTGGAGTGTGAAGAGAAGCTTTCTTCTTCCATCTGTGGGCTCCCCTGATATTCGCGGCTTCCATGTCTGCTTCGTCTATCTCTCAGCGATTTCGCAAATTTCATACTGATCTGTCTGAAGTCGCGGGTCTTGGAAGGGCAAGATCGATCACCAGAACTTGACAGTTGAGACGGTGTACAATTTTGATAGATTCGTGAAGTATCATACATTTATGACCCATCAAAATAGTTCAATTATTTAAATCTAAATTTAAAAGAATATAATTTTTTTTTTTTTGGCAAAAGTCAACTTAGCTTATATTAATATAATCATGGTTCAAAGAAGCTGAAATACAATCAGGAGGGAAAGAAAACCAAATATGGCAGCCAGACATAGAATCAGCAGCTTTAGCCATATCATGTGCCGCCCGATTCGCTGACCGCCTCACATGAGCAAAAGTTATGTCATTAAAACTAGTTGAGAGCTCTCGAATATCGCCCACAATAACACCAAATGATGATTCATCTACCCCACTCTGAATGGATTTGATCAACTGTAGTGAATCTGTCTCCAAATCTATATGGTCCCATCCCGCTTCCTTCAGCCAACTGAGAGCTTCCCGGACTGCTAGCGCTTCCGCCTCCCTTGGTAAAAACACCCCTGTTTTATTAATGGCACCCCCAACGATGAACTCCCCTTCACTGGACCTCGCTATCCACCCTAAGCCCATGCTGCCTGATCCCGTTTTAACCGCAGCATCAGTATTTATCTTCACTCTTCCTTCATCTGGCTTTACCCACCTCACAGTTGTCTGCAATTGATTCTGTGACTTGCGGTTTGTTCCTTGAGCTTGCTGCCAACCTTCCAGAAATGTTAAAGCTCCAGCCACAATACTCTGAGGTGGCGTATAAACCTGCTGCCAAAGGATTGTATTCCTAGCATTCCATAACCCCCAAATTAGCATAATAAACTTACTGCAACGTTCCTCATTGTGGTTATTCAATAATCTCTCAACCCACATCTCAAAGCTTATACTAGCATCAAGCTGAAATGACCAATTCATTAAGCCCCAGACCTGCTGTGCAATAGGACATAAACAAAAAATATGAAGTAAACTTTCCTCTCCCGCTAAACATGATTGACAGATCGGGGAGCAGCTTACTCGTTTAGTCATTAAGGTATCTGCCGTAGGTAAACAGCCTATACACGCCTGCCAGAAGAAGAATTTGACCTTCGGTGGAATAGGTAACTTCCACATTCTCGTCCAGCCATAACTCGAAACATTTCCTGAGCTTTGCATCAAGAATTTGTAGCTGCTTTTCACCGAATAACTGCCATTCTCCTCCCAACGCCATACCAATTTATCTGGTACATGCCTTTGACTCACCGGTATTCCAAGAATCAGCTCCCTATCCCTGTTACCAAAAATATCATTTACAATATCAACATCCCAGCCTCCTCCCCCGTCTCTCTGCAATAAACCAGCCACTTTACACCCTTCCAGCCCCTGAACAAGTTGAGATTCTACCCTCGGATTATCTAAGCAAGGCAACCAAGGATCATCCCAAACATTAATAGAGTCCCCCCGACCCACTCTCCATCTATAACCTTCCTTGATCAGAGACTGGGTCTCTAAAATGCTTCGCCAAATAAATGAGGGATTGTGCCCAATTTTGGCTTCTAAAAAAGAAGAACGGGGAAAATACCTGGCCTTCAATACTTTCGCTACTAGACAGTGTGGTTTAGTAAAGATCCTCCATGATTGCTTCCCGAGCATAGCCAAGTTAAACTCTCTGAGTCTTTTGAAACCCAACCCACCTCCCTTCTTCGGAGTGCTCAAGTTGTTCCAATCTTTCCAACGAATCCCCTTTCCGGAAGAACCTGTCCACCAGAAGCCATTCATAATACGTTCAAGTTCAACACACATGTCTTTAGGGAATAAGAAAACATTCATAGCGTAATTTGGCATGGCTTGAATAACGGTTTTCAAAAGCACTTCTCTTCCCGCTTTAGAAAGAAACCTATGATTCCACCCATTCAATCGTCGTACAACACGTTCTTTAATAAAACTCAGAACCTCCCTTTTACTTCTACCCACTAAAGAAGGCAACCCGAGGTACCTTGCTCCCATCCCCATCGGCTCAACCCCCAGCATCTCCATAAATCCCTCCCGAATTCCTCCATCCACATTTGCACTAAAATATATAGTTGATTTATGATAATTTATCACCTGGCCTGAGGCTGTCTCATAATCCTGGAGGACCTCTTTTACCACCGATCCTTCACTATGGGAAGCTTTGAAGAACAGAAAACTATCATCTGCAAACAAAAGGTGGGATACCTTAGGAGCCCCCCTCGCCACTGCCACCCCATTCAAAGTTCCTAGACTCTCTTCTCTCCTTATCCTGGCACTTAACCCTTCAGCAACGACGATGAAAAGATACGGGGAAAGTGGATCCCCTTGTCTGATTCCTCTCTTGGGAATAATAGGGCCTAACTCCTTATTATCAAAAGGAATTGAATAGGTCACTGACCTGACCGTCTCCATTAACAACCCCACCCACTGAGGCGCGAAACCCAACCTAGATAACATGCATCCCAAAAAACCCCACTCCACCCTATCATACGCTTTACTCATATCTAGTTTGAGTGCCGCAAAACCCCCTTGACCCTTCCTCTTATTCTTCAAAAAATGATGTGTTTCAAAAGCAATCATAATATTGTCTACTATTGATCTGCCCGGAATGAAAGCACTTTGGTTTTGAGATATAAGGCCATTAAGAAGATGCTTCATTCTATTTGCCAGTACTTTAGAAAAAAATTTATATATAACATTGCAAAGAGAGATGGGTCTCCAGTCTGCCACTACCTCTGGTTTTTCTGTTTTGGGTATAAGAGTAATATGGGTATGATTAATTCTCTCTGGAAGTATACCTGACTGGAATGTCCTCTTGCAAAAATCCACTACTTCTGGCCCTACCACCTCCCAGAAATGCTGATAAAATCCTGGGCTCAAACCATCTGGACCTGGACTTTTATCTGGATGCATTGAAAACAATGCTTCTTTAACTTCTTCCTCCCGAATAGGCCTCAAGAGCTTCATATTCTGATCATCCGACACCATCTGGTTCACACATAATAAAACTGGATCCATATTACCCTGCAAAGAAGTAAAGATATTAGTAAAATACTCCTCCACTATTCTGCCCACTTCTTCCCTCTCCTTCTCCCATCTTCCACCCGCCACTCTGAATCCTTCGATGTGGTTCCTCTTCTTCCTTTGCTTTACCGAATTATGAAAGAAGCGAGTATTAACATCCCCTCCTTTCAACCAGAACTCTTTTGCTCTCTGTTTCCAGTAACAATTTTGTCTTTCAAGTAGCTCCAAGTATTCCCACTTCACCCTCCCAAACTCTCTTTGGCTAAAAGTGTCTGTTCTTCTTCTCAAATGGTTAAGCCTTTTTTTGCAAAATTCAATCCTTCCTCCGAGACCTCTATTTTTTTTAGCCCCCCATTTACCAACTGCCTCACAGCAGAGCTCTATTTGTCTCATCACTCCTAACCCTCTCCCCCAACCCCAACTCCTCTCCACAACCTCCTTACAGTCCTCCTCGCGAAGCCAAAGATTCTCAAACCTGAATCTACGTCTATGTGTTGACCTCCCAGCCTGATTTAATTTTATATATAAGGCCAAATGATCGCTTGGGGTCCCTTCTAAAGACCAAGCTTGTGCTCCTGCAAACTGTGCCTCCCAACTAGGTGATACCAAGATCCGATCTAGCTTTTCTTCCACCAAACTATTAGTACCCCGACCTCTCTCCCATGTGAACTGGTAACCATTAAAGGAGAAGTTCACTAACCCACTTGCCCACACTGCTTCTCGGAAACCCTGCATTAGCCAACGAGGGTGAGGCACCCTCCCTCTCTTCTCTCCATAGAACATCAGGTCATTGAAATCTCCCATTATCAACCACGGGAGTAGTGATAATGAGCTGAGATGACGAAGAAGCTCCCATGATTCCCGCCTGCGAGCCCTTTCCGGGAACCCATAGTATCCTGTAAATCTCCAAGGAGAGTCTTCTTCTTCAATCTTCACACATGCATCAATGTAGTTACTGGAAGATCGAGTAATCTCCAGTTCCACTCCATCCTTCCAAAAAAGTGCAAGCCCACCCCGATGACCCACACAGTCTACTGCAAACCATTTATCAAACCCAATCTTACGAGCTATAACTGTAATTTGAGAAGTCTTCGAAAAAGTTTCCATGAGGAAAACTATCGACGGCCGCTTTGAGTGAACTAGGTCCACCAGCACTTGAACTGTCGACGGGTTGCCAAGCCCCCGACAGTTCCAGCTAAGGCAACTCATAATTCTAGGCGGGCCTGCACCGCAGGGCCCGCCTTTAATCCGTTTTTTGGAACAATTGATAAGGTATCGCTATGTATCCCCAATTCCCTTGTCTGCCCTTCCATTTCCATTCTTCTCCTTTTTCCCATCGCTTGCATGCTATCCTCCCTCAACTCTTCACTGTCAAACCTGCTGGTAGTACTCACTTGTCCTCCTGCATTCCTTGTCCCAGTTCTTCCATTTTCCATTGCACTGCTTCCTCCCCCCTCCCTTCTGTCCACTGTATTTCCCCCTTTCACATTACTCTTGTTACCCATCACTAGCCACGGACTGCCGGATGCTTCCTGTTCTTTCCTCCCCCCCGCCTTAAGCCACACCCCATAAGGTTTTTCGCCCCCATCCCATCCTCCTTCAACATGCACTGGACAGTACCGGTCAGTATGTCCCAGTCTGCCACAAATAAAGCAGAAAAGGGGAAGCCTTTCATACTTGAGATCAACCCAAAATGAATCCTGGCCACGATTAAGTTTCATACCTCGTCTTAGGGGGTTAGTGACATCAAGTAATACTCTTATACGGAGGAAAACCTTTACAGGCCCCTCAAAATTTTTTTCATCAGCTTTGACAAAAGTACCTAACCGATTTCCAATCAACTCTGCTACTCTCATCGTCATATAGCAAAGCGGTAGCTTATGTACCTGCACCCAGAATTCTGCGTGGGATAATTGACATTGGCTTGGATTTTCAAGAGGGTTTAATCTCTGTAAGATTAGTAGGTTACGATCAAAAGCCCAAGGACCATCTTCTAGCACTCTACAGACATCGGCTTCATGGAAAAACTGAAATAAGAATCGCTGTCCTCCTAGCTCTTTGATATAAACACCCTTCCCTGGCCTCCAAGTGTTCGCCATTGAGTCTCGAAAGATTGTGAACTTCACTGATTTCTCGGTTAACAATCTTCCTACTACTGTTAATGCCAGGTTGTCTTCCGTAACACATTGATCCTCTGACGCCACATCCAGACCGCCATCATCCTCCTCTTCTAGCGATAATCTTGAATACAAATCCTCGATCGTCGTTGAATTTGACGCCATGATCGTCAATGATTTTGATCCGGAAGCTAGAACACCCTCGTAAACCCTAGAGATACCTAGGGGAGAAAACTTCAGAAGAAGGGATGACCTGCTCAAATGGAACGGTGTCTTTTTAATTTAAAAGAATATAATAATTTAATAGATATGGTACTTCATTTTTTAAATGTGTACCAGAGTTGTCACCATTTAATAAAAACATAAACTCATGACATGTTTATAATTTGAGGGGAAAACTATCAATTCGCCCTGGTACTATAGGCGAAAGTTCCAAACAATCAATTGAGAGTCCTTCCACCGTACAACCGGCTGTACGGTGAGCACCGTACAGTCGGTGGCATTTTTGTAATATAATGTGAAAAGCGCGGTTTCTGCTAAATGAGCATTAGTGTAATGCTAATGAGCAATTGTCCAATTTTAATGAGTATTAAGAGTCTAATAATGAGCACCGTGTTATTACAAGAAAAGCTGACATCACAACTAAAAAACGGTGGCATTTTCGTAATTTTAGTGAAAATCGTAATTTTCGCTAGATGAGCATTATTACACCTTTTATGAGCATCAAACGTATTCTCCTGAGAATTAAGTATCGAATAATGAGTATTGTGATATCAACGTCATATATTTTAATTCACTTTCTTTTTCTTATTTTTTTCTTTTATAAAAACTCATTACATTTTATCTATAATCAATTCCTATGAATTTCAATATGCGAATCTAATATAATATGATACTTTTGAAATATGCATTGTTATGACATTTTTAAAGTGAG